TCTCTCCTGTCGCCTCCCTATACACCCACCAAGTACTCACTTGGCCCTGTAGTGTAAGCACTAGAACCCCTTTCACATCTGCCCCTTATTTTACTTTGCCAGCAGTGACCTGTGTCATCACTCAGCCTGTTTGCATTGCACCTTACCCTCCTGCCTCATTCTCCACTTGCTTTATCTCCTGCCCTCCCTTCTCCTCAGCTTCCTTCATTTTTGCTTCACCTTAATTCTGCACTGCCTCTTGTATGGTGCACTATGCAATTTGCCTTGTATGTCTGTCAAGTCTTGGACATTTCTCTTTCCCCAACATCACCATGCTATAGGCTGAACCATCTTTTTTAGGATCTTGAAGAGCTGCCACTGTTTCTCCATGCTCCATAGCTCTAGAGTTTTAATAAAATGCATCCCCCTGGAATGTCTTCCTAACTCAGTCCGTCCTTTGCTCCGCTGACCTCCTCAGTCTGCTCAGTGTCTCTCTCTCTTGAATCCTTTCTTCCTCCTCTTCCATCACCTCCTGTTTACACACCTTGGTGGGATTTTCTCTGCCCCCCATGGCTCCCTGACTACAATGCTATACAGAACATGCCACATGTATGTGTCTTGCTGCTGCCATTTCTGAAGTCTGCAACAGGATACATACTGTGACTCCTGCCCTGAGCCTGTATCTCCAGCTCTTAGCCATTACATGTGGGGACTTAGCAAAATCCCATGAGGATGTCTCCTACTTAATCTTTGAGAAGCCTCATATACTCAGAAGAGGGGCTTGACTCCAACTACAGAATCTCTCTAGTTTTATCCATAATGTACTTGGTAGAAACCCCCTCCCCCTCATGCTAGCAGTGACCTTACTTCCCTCTTCCCTAAGGAATATAAAGGATTTCTTCCACTAGCCCATCCCTTGGGGCATGTAGTCCGCTTGTGCAGTGGGGGGAAAAGACAGTGCCTGTGCTTACACTATCATGTGTCCCTACAGTGCCTTAGTAGATGTAATGATTTATATCTGTCTGCCTTAACAAGTCTGTAGATCCTGAGTACAAAAACCATGACTTAACAATCCATTTGCTTCCTGAGTCAACTCTCCTCAGATATGTTGACATACTCACTGTATTTTTGCTGCAGAAGTTAATTTTCAAAAGCAACACTTCACATAATCTCTTAATCTCATTTATTTGTTTTACCTGCAAAGATGTACAGTGGTCAAATTAAGCAACAGACAGTTGTGGAGGAAATCAACAGCAAAGGAAACATCCCAGCGCTTGTAACAGACAGAAGATCAATGCCCTTATGAACTCAGCTGCTGGAGTTATTTAATCTCTTTAAGCCTGTTCTCTCATTTGGAAAGCACTGCTATTACCGCTAGTAGTCTCAAGGGCTATGAGAATTAGAGGGGCAAATACACATAAGATACTTAGAATGGCGCTAGCACATAGTAAACTCAATAAATGTTAGTTATTAGTATTATAGCCCTGATATATTTTCTAATGGGTCTTCTAGACTTTGTTGATATGTACCAAATAGGCAGGAGGAGAGTAGAAATAGCCTTTTAAGGGTGTATCTGGATGAATTATATTAACTTCTTCTCTGCTCTGCTATCAAGCTCCTGTAAAACTCTACATATATCTCCCATACAGTGCTTACTAGCCTCAAATACAGTCATCTCACTGATGGCACTTAGCGTGATGGATATCAGGAAAATCCATCCAGTCTTCCACGTTTTTGCTATCCGAGGTGCAAAATACTATCATAACATGTACTTGAAACCTGCAAAAAACTTATGAGTTTAATGCTTTCACCTTTAAATGTGATCTCATTTGTTTTTGACATATAGCTTTGATACAGGTATATGATCAAGTATAATTGCTCAGCAGGGTGCTCTGGGTCAGGGATTGAGCTCAACTGAGAATTCTGGTCTCCTGACTCACTGGGCATTAACCCACTTACCTACACTGACTCATCCTCTACATGTCGAACCCCCCACATTCTTTTGTGGTTATGTTAAGGTAGGGTATTCATGCACCCAATCCCTAGGAGGACACATTTCCTAGAACTAGAAAGCAATGGAAGTTCTATAAGCTTTCATTAACTGAAAAAAATATCAAGAATTTTCTTCTTTTGCAGCAACTGAAACAAAAATTACCATAGTTCTTTATTTTATTTTATTGCTTTGGAACTGAGGATTGAACTCAGGGCCTATATTTTATTTTTTATTTTGAGATAGAGTCTCACTAAGGCTTTTAAGTTTCCCAGGCTGGGTTTAAATTTATGATCCTCTTGCTGGGAGTGTAGCTCAGTGGCATAAGTGCCTGCCTGGCAAGCACAGGTCCTGAGTTTGATTCCCAGTACCAAAAAAAAAAGTAAAATAAGTTTATGATCCTCCTGATTCAGCCTTCCAGAGTTCTAGGATTACTGAAATATGCCACCATGCCTACTAAAACATTGGACAGCATTTTCTTTTTCTTTCTTTCTTTCCTTTTCTTTCTTTCTTTCTTTCTCTCTTTCTTTCTTTCTTTTTTGAGACAAGGTCCTGCTAAGTAGTTCAGATTGGCCTTGAACTCACTATGTAGCCCAGGCTGGCCTCAGACTCACAGTGATCATCTTCCCTCAGCCTCCCAAGTGCTGGGATTACAGGCATGCACTACCATGCCAGGCTCCAGCAGCATTTTCATTGCTTTAATTCACTTGGAAATGTCTCAGTAATGGGAAGGTGTCACAATAAAATAATCACTTGTGTCAAAACCTCTAACGCATAGAAGAAAGAATGTAGGGTAATAAGTAGTAAACTTGGGAATGAGAGAAAAACATTCATTGGTTTACAATTGCATTTGCTTTGCTAAACTGGACAAACATTGGCTTAGTAAAGTTTGGCAAATTAAGCTGCCTCTATAGTTTTTACATTTATTTCTTTATAAGGCCAAAAGGTATCTTAGGTAAAAGTGACTGTTATAAAACGTGATTCACTGCTACTAAAAGTAACATATAATAAAAAGCAATTTTCCTTGCAAAGTGCACATAAGGAAGATGGTAACTAGTGAAAAATAGCATAATTTGAGTAGTATTTTACTGTTTCTGACCTCTGTGAAAGTACTATAATAAAAAGAGCCAAGCTAAATATGAGCCTCTTGCCTGCAAACATGGATTCAAAAATGAATGGAAACAATACATAAAAGCTGAAGAAATATTTTAAGATAACACAATAATGAAAGGAACAGAAGCCTAAGGATCAGTAATCCGTTGGAATGAAGGGGGATTTGCTGGCAGAGACAGCCCTGTCCTCCTACCTGCAAATGTTAGCAGGATCCCCTCCCCCAACCATGACCTCTGTAAACACCCCACAACAGTGCCAAGCAAACCTAAATATAGAAAATAAAGCTCATGAAGTGACACTGTTAACACTCTGATACTAACTTTAATGTGTGACACGAAAGCAGAGATCTGATCGAATTACTCGTCCCCAAGAAAACTGTTCCAACCTTTGTGGTGTTCAATCATAACTCTTAACCTTCCTTAAAAGCCTTCATATACGGGTTTCATCTTGCCCTTCCCACACCACAGGACTCTGAAGGGGCCCCATCCTGTCTGCATTAGTCTGCTGAATACGCTGTGGGGTACACCTCTGGTGCTGTTTATGGGATTCCTTTGTTCCCAGTGCCCTGTCCATCTCCACCCATTCACAATTTGCCATCTTTCAAATCTCTCATCCCTCATGGGCCTGTTATTTACTGGCTCATTCAGAATTCCTCTCCTTCTCTGTCTGCTCAGTTCAAGCTAATCACTTCCCCAACTTTTTCCATGATAAAAACAAGAAATGTATAATTGGTTCCTTTCTTATAAGACTTCTTATATAGTGGTATCTTGGTTCACAAACTTCATTCTTTCCATGATTCTGGTTACAGAATTTATCCCATGATTCTGGTTGCAACTGAACTTCAAGTATACTATGAAACAAATTTTGTGACTAAACTTGTGGAAAGAATGAAGTTTGTGAACTGAGGTACCACTGCAGGTAGCTAAGTAGGAAGCTCTGAACTTTTGTTTCTACTTTGGAACGGCTGTGTCTTACTTATCTTTGCTCCTGGTTTAGTTGTCATTGGCAGTATAACAGGTGACCTTAAAATGTAAATACCAGTCATTTACTTGCTCAGAGTTCTGTGCCTGTAACTTGAGCTGTGCTGAGTTGGATGGGTCATCTCCATTCCACAAGGTATCAACTAGGGTCACACAGGTCTGAAGTCTCAGCAGGGCCAGCTGGGCCAGAGAAGCCTCTCTGTATGGAAGCTCCACGCTGGAAGTTAAGAGAGGGACTTCAAGGCCTTTTGAGGGCCAAGCAAATTAGACAAAGAACAACCAAAACATTTCTCCTGCACTCAGTTATTCAAAGCAGATTTAGAACCAGGTCTGCCACAGGGGGTGGGAAATAAGCTCTACTGATTAGAAGACCTGTAGCAATTTGTGACTCTTTTAAATAGTTTATCATGCCTATCCTCAAAAGTGCTTAACATTATGAACTGGACATAGATGGTCAAGAAATATTTTTGAACTTCAGTGAATAAACTCAACATAGGACTTCTGCGTTAGATTCAAGTGTGATGTTTCTAGACTACTAGTTTTCAAACTTGAGTGTGCAAGAGAATCATATATCTTGTACATGCAGATTCTGGGGCTTCTCTTCCAGGAGTAAGGAGGGAGCTGGGACTCAGGGTTCTGCATTTCATAAATCACCCATGTGACCAGTGGTCCTTGGGACACACTTGGGAAATTCTGGCACGGATGCATTCTACTATAAAATGAAGATTGGCATGCTTACGATAAGATATGTGTACTTACTGTAACAAAGGTTATGATCACATTTTATTTCAAAATACAGCTTGAGGGAAAGTATGATTTATGACATGACTTTAGAAAATCCTATGAAGTAGACAATATGTTGCTAGATGCTTTAAATAACCATACAGTGGTAATGTGATTAACTCTTATGGGCATTTTGGCATATGTTTGCTTTTTAGATCTTCCTCCTTGGTAACTGTCCATGGACAGGACAGCTATGACTGTTATCTCCACTGCCCCTGCTGTTGAAGTGACAGGGAAGGAAGAGGGGGAGCAGGTGAAGGGCAGCAGGGGAGCTGGGCCAGGTGTAAGAGCCTCATGGAGAGACTGGACCCTGCAGGCTGCACATCCTCTGGAGCCCCTGCCTGTCTCCCCTGCATTTCTCGTTCCTCTAAGGTGCCTGACCAGCTGCAGTGGGCAGACTGGCAGACTTCAACTTCTTTTCTCTTCAATCTGCAGGCAGAAGACAATATTTTCAGTATGGCATCCATGTGGGAGCTCTAACTGGAGGTCACCAAGTGTGACCCCTTTTCTTCACTTTGAAGAAACTTTATACCCTGGGTCTATAAACCTAAAAGCTGGGGGCACAAATAACATCGCCCCTTCTTCTCTCCCAGCTCAATCTGGCTCCCCCACTGCCACCACCTCAAGAAGGAATCCTTGTGACTTTTGTATCCGCTTACAAATCTGCTTCCTAGGCCAATGGACATGCCACTCAACACTGCTACTCTTAAATGTGCTCATCTGTAATGTGATGATAATAATGTTTACCTAGTGATATAATCTTGAAGATTAAATGAGATAACATATAAAAACTCTTAAGCCAAATGAATCTCTATTATATACATATATTCTAAATAGTCTCATGATTATCAGTGGGCTCACCTATGTGATCTGTAGACATATAGAGAGTATATCTAAACTAAGTCTCCACTACTTGCAAGACACAATGTTATTTTACAGACAAAAGCAAACGCTGTCAGTTAAGTGGGAATGCTTCCTTAGCATCTAAAAATCTTATTTTAAGTTTTATTGACAGAGTTATTTTAGATTTAACTAGGAAAAACAATGAAATGAATGAGTGTGTGTGGAGAAACGGATGTCAGGTTTTTGAGGCAATGGTGTAAGCAGGAGATTGAGAGAGGATTCTGAAGAGGAGTAAAAATACTCTTCAAATTTTGAGAAATCTCTGGAAAGACTTGGATTTCCATAGTCTATGAAGCGGTACATACAAAGATGCTGCCTTGCATAGGAAGCAAATTTAATTAATTTGAGGCTCTGTTCTTCGTATTACAATTTCCTCTGCATGAAACTGTGATCTTCTCTGTAAATCTGTTGTCTCATTGGCCCAGGAACTCTTTCTAAGACTTTTGGTGCTCTGTCTTCTTAACGTACGAACAGCATGCTTCTTCCTGCCAGGTAGGTACTTAGTAAGATAATGCTTTCCAGATAAAACCAGAACATCAACTTCAGGCTTGGGCCTAGGGTGCTTCTTTGAAAAAGGGAGACTGGCTTCCCTGGGCCTGGTGCTCCATCACCCTCCTTGCAGTGTACAAGTGGGCAGAGGAACCCAGGAATGACTGAGCACACGGAGATGTCGATAGATTTGAAAATGGGACAGACAGGATAAAAGCCAACTTAATCATTTACCAACTATACAGTCTTGGACAAAAGAGTTAATCTCTCTATGGCTACATTTTGATAGTAAACAGAATGTAATAGATCTACTTCCTAGGGGTCTCTGAAGAATTGGTCTATGTTTACGTTATGACGATTAAATGAATTAAACCACGGAAAATTCTTATCACAGTGTTTGATGGAAAAGGTAGCTGCTATGACCATGGAGGTTTCTTTTGAAATACCTTTAGAAGTTCTCTCTAATGAAAGTATGCTGGTAATTTCTTCCATGGATTATCTGACATGGCCCAGAAGAAACCTAAAACACTGAGCAAGTAGGCGAAGTGACACTCACCTTCCTTTCTGCCACTACTCAATCAGTACTTGCTGAGCCCGTGGCCATGTTGGAAAGCACAGTCCTGGGTACACAGAGTGAGATGGTCCCTGCTCTAGATAAGCCATGGACTTCAGAAGGGGCCACGCCTCTCCTGTACAGGGGAGGCTTTGAGGTCCTTTTATCCTATGAACAGAGTGGCTCGGCCAGTTAACATGAACTTTACATGAGTAGCTAACGCACTCCCTTCTTCACTTGTGTTGGGCTAGCACCACACCCCACTTCCTTCTGAGAGTGGGTAACGCTTTTCAAAGAAATTACAGTATTAAGTAGTATCACCACAGCGAGCAGAAGTAGCAGTGTTCAGTCTACTGAACAAGCTGACAGTGTTGTACTGAGTGGGACACGTGGACCCCTCTAAGTGCTAGCATGAGCAGGCAGTGGTAGTCTGGGTCACTGTCATCACGCAAAAGACTCTGTGAAGATAAGAAGGGTGGTTCAGGCTAGGGGACCAGGGGGGAAAAGCCGGAGCTGGCATACATCTGGGTGGATGTGTGGTGAGGTCTCTGAACTGCCCACATCTTGTTGTTGCTCACAGAAAGGCCCCCAATTTGCAAATGAGCACCCTGTAAAACTTGTTTGCAAAAGTTCGGAGTGCTAAATCCACGTTAAGTGTGAAGCTAGGTAATATTTAGATTTTTGTATCACCCCATTCATCAATCACTAGTCCATTAATTCGTAAGGAAGCCAAAATCAGTTTATAAAACTGACCACCTAAGAGGCATTATTCTCCCTGATGGGAGTCTCTGTTTCCTTGTGTGACATTTCAGATTGACTCAGGGTTGAATAGTGCATTTGGAGCCTAATTTCTGAATCTAAAAACTATGCATTGGTTTTACTGTGGGAGTTTGTTTTACTACATGAATCAGCTTTACTGCTTTCCCAGCTGCAACTACAACAGGCATCGCCTCTCTGCAAGATAAAGACACCAGCTTATTGGTTCTCAAAGTGGGGTCCTGGGGGAACCCCCAACATCAGCGTCACCTGGGAACTCTGTAGGAATGCAAACCTGCCTGCCCTTCTTGGTTCGTGCCTGCTGAATGAGAAACTGTGGGGTGCGGTTCAGCAATCTGAGTTTTAGGAAGGCACACCCTAGTCAGAGAAGCTGTGTTAGAGTTAAACCAAAGCCAGGCCTTAATCTCCCTCATCTTTGCTTGATCAGCAGGCAGTACAGTACCTGGGTCTTTGGTGATTCAAAGTCATTGTTTCTCAGCCAGGAAAAAGATTACAGGAGGCATTTGGTCAAGTCTGGAGATATTTTTGGTTGTCACAAATTAGGGGCAAAAGATACAACCAACGTCTAGTAGGCTAAGGTAGAGATCTACCAGATATCTACAGCGTGTAGGCCACACTCCGCCCCCAGCAGATACACGCATGGTGCTGAGGCTGAGAAATCTTATTCTAAACTTGTATTATTGAATATGGCAAAGCCAAGAATATCTCCCCAGTCCCTCCTTCACCCTCTCCCTTCACTTCCTCAAAATTAGCGCATTCTAGATCTGAAGTGAAGATGGAATATTAGGTTGGGAGAGTCTTTTCTCTTTACCTTATTACTCTCATTTTAAGGCCACAGGGCACAGACATTGACATGCAGTGTGACCACAGTAAGTATCCTGAATGAGTGAATGGATGAGTCCATTATAATAAGGCAATAAACAAATCCGTTGGGGATATTTTCATTCTCTTCCCTTCCCTTTTCTTCTCCCAGCATCAGATACAGTAGCCAGGCATTTAGGGAGTGAGTGAGCTCAGCTAATGCTCATCATCCACACCCCACTGGGGTCTCTTCTGTGTCCATCATGCACACAGAATGGGAAGCGATAACCACCCTCTGTAGCCATTTTGGGGGGATGGAACAGGGAAGGATAAATAATGAGAACCAAACGAGGCACCAGGTTCCGTGTCCTGTTCTATCCACACAACTGAAGCATAAAACAAACCCAAACTGCCTTCCTGGCAAAAGTGATCTCCTGAGGTCAAAAAATTTGAAATTCACATTTCTTTTCCTGGGTAAGGACCCTGGGAGTGAAGCATGTACACAGTCAGTGCGCCCTTGGGCCGCAGGGAGGAAAAGGGTGAAATTCTGAGATGTAACTTTTCCTCTTTGAAAGAGTAAAGCCTAGGACACTGTGGTGCTATCTGTCTTCACCCCATCCTCAGAGTCTCCCGACCCAGGGGCTCCGAATGGAGCACACGCCCGCTGAGCCGATGTGAGAGTGTTCCATCTGCATGTTTCAGTGACAGAGGTGGGGTGGGGGAGGGTGCTGAGGACAGTTGCAGTGGAGGGCCTGGATGGAGGGGGATTAGAAGAGGAGCTGTGCCTTCTGTTCTTGGCTCTTCCCCAGGGTATGTGTTGAAACCCTGTACAAAGGTTAGAGATCTTTTTCTTCCTTTTTTTTTTTGTTTGTTTGTTTTAAATAAAACATCACCTTGTTCTAAAAGAATTGAAACCAATGTACAGTATTACCCTGTACTTCTGGTTACTTCCGGTTTTAGGGAACTGAATAAGCGTAAGTGCTTTTGAGACAGTCAGAGGCTGTAGTGGGGATAAGGAACAGGTGCACCACTGTAGCCTTCACTCAGGATCTGTTACCCATTAGAGGCACAGTCTGTGCTCTTCCCTAGCCCCTCACTGTCCTGTACAACCTGACTGATCTCAAAAACATGTGCAGGAATAATCTAGATGAGAGAAGAAGGCTATTAGTGATCACCACAGAGCGACTGAGGGCACACTAATCCCAGCCCTCAAACTGTTACTCATTAAAAGCATGAGCTTTGTTTTCTTCTGAGACAGGGACTTAGAAGCTGCTTTAACTAAAAAGCACTGACTCTTTACGTGGCCTGCAGATGCCAACTGGGTAACTAAAAGTAGGACAAAGCTTGGCATCACTGCTTCATTTTGTGTCTGTCTCCTTTATTATCTTAAACGTTGGGTCAGGTTCCTGCTCAGCACGTTAATCATATAAATAATGTTCACCTGAAGACTGGTATATTCGCCTGAAAATTACTTAACCCATCTCTTTCTTCTTCAAGATTGAGAACACTAAGATAAGCATAGCTATGTCATTTTCAAGATTTACAGGGACATTCAACTGCCAACTTTTACCACGCCCTGTTCCAGACCTCCTGCAGTGGTACCTAGAAGTCTAGTCATTGTCCCAAACTGCAGCCATCTTGGATTCCAGACAAACCACCTGTGATGAGTTCACCCCCTAAGCAGGAGCAATGATCTCATGGGAATCAGACTCATCCCTCAGGCAATGAGGCCGCCTCTGGGGCCACCTCAAGAATCAGCTAGATGAAGGCCATGCTGGCAGCCTGGTTAAAAGCTACAGCTTTCCTTTGTTAAATGATCATCCTGATTTTCTCTCTCCTGCAGCTCCCCGTTCAGTGCAAGCTGAAGTCCCTTCCCTTCTCTCTTCCTTTTGAAATATGAGATTTGTCTCATACCACTTGGCCTGGTTTTTAATTTCTTTCATCACAGTATTATCACTTTGATGTGTGTCTCTCATTTTATTGCCATAATCCTGAGCTATCTCCAAGATGATATTCTTGTCCTTATTTTTCAGACAGGGACACAATCTCAGACGGGCCAGGTTATTTACTCAACATTGTACAACTGGCCACAGCCAGGTGGGAACTAGAACCCAAGGGCTATAGCTAGTCAAAGGTACAATGTGGCAAAATCTCCTTCCTCAGTCCCTCTGAAAGCTCACATAGTTCTTTGGTCTCCAGTAAGCTAAGTGCTGCTCTATCAGCAATTATTTTTAATTACGTCTGATTGAGTGCGATCTTTTTGTCAAGAAATTT